GTACGACGCTGTCCGGAAACACTGCTGCGAATCCTACGCCGTCAGAAGACTTGAGCCATCTGTGTACACAGCAATGGCATGAGAATGAGAGTGAAAGTGGTCAAGAAAAGAGAGCGGGAAGCGACCGTAGACAGTTGGGCTTTCGAGCAAGGGGGGGAGAAAGAACAGACTCGAACAGCTGGAACTTCCCAGGGGGGTAGGGAAAAGTGAGATGCTACATGTACATAGAAGGTGGTAGTGAAGAGAAGACAGAGCGAATGAAGGCGAAAGAGAAGGGACGGAGTAAGCAGGGCGGCGAAAAAATAAAGAATGCCCCTACTAATATCAGTGACCATTCTTAAATGGAAGGATTGCGGAGTTCATGAGAGCTACATAGTAGCGCAAGCAATGGGCATCACGGCGATCGGAAAGGATGGAACGTTCGCTTCTGCATAGAGGCTTTCGACGGGGGAAGAGCAAAAAAGCACCAAGGCATAAAACGTAATCCTTGGTGATGAATGGGTAAGGCTAGAGAGGTAGCAAGAGATGCCGCTGAATAGATCTGGTCACCATAATCAAGTTTCGATAAAATAAGGGTGGAATGTAGGTGAAGGAGGGTTCGACGATCAGCTCCCCACGAAAGATGAGAAAGGGGTTTTTAAGAAGGTTCACCCGGCTGGGGACAAGTTGCCTTCAGAGAGGAAATTGTGAGGTTTTCCAGGATAACCTACGATCAAAGAGGAGGCCCAGAAAATTTGACTGTATCCGTCGGGGATACGTGAGCCATGAGGTAAAAAGGATGATCAGAGGGGACAGAGCGTCTAGTGAAAGTGATTTGGGGGGTTTTTAGTGCTGGAAAATTTAAACCCATGTGTGGTGGCCCAATTGGAAACACGGTTCGACTGCATGCTGGAGAGAAACTGTAAGGGGGTGACAGTCAGCGCCTGCACAGGCAATAGCGAAGTCATCAACATAGAGTGATGACCAAATATTGATGGAAGACTAGAGGCCAAATCATTAATGCAAGGAGAAAAAGTGTTGTGCTCAGAACACATCCCTGGGGGACACCTTCAGCTTGGACAAGTCCGGGGAGAGCACATTATTAACCCGAACCGGAAAGCCTGTCAGTTAAAAGTTCTTAAGGAAGGATGGTAGATTGCCTCGAAGGCCTAAGGAGGGGGCTTGGGCTAAAATTTTATACCCCCAAAAGTCGTGTCATATGCTTCTCAAGGTCAAAAAATATGGCAAAACTGGTGGTTATTCGCAAAGGCATTACGAACATACGTATCCAAGCGCAGTAAGGGGTTATGGTAGAGCGTCCCTTACGAAAGCCATATTGACGAGTGGAGAGACTGTTGTGGTCTCTAAATACCACACTAAACTATTTACTAGCGTTCCATTACTTTGCAAACTGCACTGGTAAGAGCAATGGGACGATAGTGGGAGGTTTCATGTCCCGTAGTGCCTGGTTTGCGGAAAGGGAGAACAATGGCGGATTTCCACAGCTGTGGAAGAACCCCTTGGACCAAATAAGATTGTAAAGGCGTAATAGGACTGCAAGGGCTGACTGATGTAAATGTTGTAGCATACGAATATGAATGTCGTGGGCCCAGCTGCCGTGATCGACAAGCTGAGAGTGTTGCCTCCAGTTCTTGAAGTGTAAAAGGCACATTAAAATTTTTCTTCTCTGAGAGAAGAAAAGTCCAAGGGTGCTAACTCTCTGGCAGACTTTGAGGAAAGAAATGAGGGGCATAATGGAGTCCCTGAGAAATACGGACCAGATGATTGCCAAGTTCATTGGCAACATCTAGGGGGTTTGCTTTTATTCAACACCGGCAAACCCGCAGAACAGGAGCCGGGTCAGGAGAATATTTACCACTCAGTTTTCGTAACTTTTTTCCAGACTCCCACTCATAGAGGAAGCAGAGGTGATGGTGGAGACATAATCTCGCCAGCAAGTGCGTTTAGCGTCACGGATGCACGGCGAGCGACGCACGCTTCTGTTTAAAATCAAGGAGTCGCTCTGTGGTTCTATTGTACCGGTACCTGCCCATGCAGCGCGTTTCAAACGTACTGCACGAGCACAAGCAGGAGACCACCCAAGGCACGCATTTTGAGAATCCCTGCCCGAAGTTTGGGGTTTTAGAATGAGAAGCTGCGGTAAAAACGGAGGACGAGAAGAGGTTAAAGCTCATCGATGGAGGACGAAGAAGGACCTCTTTAAAAACAGTCAAGTGTGAGTAAAGGTTCCAATTTGCCCGATTAAATTGCCAGCGTGGGGTGCGAAGAGGTGGCGAATATGAAGGGGGAAATAAGAATGATTGGGAAATGATCACTGTCATGTAAGTCCGGGAGAACAGACCAAGTAAAGTCTAATGCGGCGGAGGAAGAGCAAACTGAGAGATCGATGCAAGAGAGAGTATGAGTCCCAGGGGTCAAAAAGGGTTGTGAGTACCTGTATTTTAAAAAAATGGAGGGGGTGGGTGGCAAGAAAGCTCTAACTGAATTCCACCGGGAACACAGTGAGACCCCCCCCAGAGGAAATGGTGGGGATTAAAATCACCAAAGTAACAGAATCGGTGGCGGTAATGACGAAACAAGGAAGGGAAAATCCGGAATAGATAAAGCCCGAGAAGGAGAGAGATATAAAGAACAGAGCGTATACCACCTATGTAAGTGGATTACGGGCTGCGTGTAATGCAAGCGAAGTATGAATAAATAGCTGATGGTACGGAATATCAGTGCGGAGAAGAAGGGCAACTTTCATTTAAAGGTCCCATCAGGAAAAAGGGTCTGAAGAATACAATAAATTATAGCCTGAGATGTGAGAAATAACAGCAGAGTGTAATTTTGGTTCTGTAAGCAAACACCAACAGGGGCAAACTGGGAGAGTAACATCTGAAGCTCACCCCGATTACCCCTGAGGGCCCCGTATATTCCACTGTAAAAAGGCCATGATTGGCAATGATAAAAATACTTGAAATCCGCAGGTAAGGGTTCCTTTCGGACTAGAAGGGTTAGAAAAGTCCACATGCGGAGGGCAGTGGAAAAAAGTTCAAGCAGCGAAGGAACGGTGCGCTGTGAAGAAAGGAGTTGCGCAGATGGAGCAGAGGAGAGAGAAAGAGCGGAAGGTGGGGTCAGTGTCCATTGATGGTTTGGTCTCTGCAAAATATTCAGAGATTGCTTCAAGTTTTTGGAATTCAGAGATGTCGTATGGGAGACAATATTGGGAATGGTAGGGGGAGGATGAGTAAAGATTGGGAAATGTATTGGACTGTACCAAGGTAGGGGGGGGCGAAAGGGTGGAGGGAACTGGAGAAGCGTGGCAGGGGACAGAAGAGACAGGAACCGGGAGGTGGCAGAAGAGGAAGAAACTTGGGAGGGAACAGGGGAGGAAGGTACATTACGAGGGAGGAGGGTGAACCTCTGCACTTGTAACTGAGCCAGTGAGAGGGGAAGAACTAGGGACAGAGACAGGGAGGGTAAAAAGAGGAGGTGGAAGATGGGGTAGGAGGTTTACCGGACCTTTTTTTGACTTTTGAGAAGTAGAGGGACGATTGGGGAAAAGGGTCGTACGAGGTCTCGTCGATACTGAGGCTTGTAAGGAGAGAACTCGAAGAAGCGAGATTAGACTGAGGCGTTGAAGTGGGACGTCTGAGGGCCGGGACAGCAAAAGGATTAGATACAGGAGTGATTATGGGAGAGGGGAACCACAGAGGTGGGTGTAGAAGATGGGATACCAGAAGTGGGGGGACGTTTGAAACACGGGGAATAAGAAACACGTGGGAGTCTCCCTTGGAGGCGGAGATGAGAAAACTGCTATGGCATAAGGGAGACCTTCTGTCTCTTTGAGGTAACGGATTTCCCGCTCGTTTAAATAGACCTGACAACGGCGAGAGTACGAAGGGTGAGCCTCAGGACAGTTAAGGCAAGGGGAGATCGATTGCAAGACGTATTTGAATGGTCATCGGCACCACAGACTGGGCATTCGGCGATAGATCTGCAATATTTCGCTGGATGGCCAAAATCGCCAGCAATTTCACACTGTTGTGGTGTAGGGATCACCTTTCGAACTTGTAACCCATGTCCTGCTATAAAAACGGAGGATGGAGTTCTCGGCTGTCAAAGTTAAACGAGCCACATTGCTAGGGTAATCGTCTCCCCCCACGGGCAGGAAGAACGTAAGTGTCTACCTTGAGGATTGGGAGATCTTGGGGGTTCCAGCTGTTCTAGAATGTCGGTGCCACATGTCTGGAAATTTTGTTGAACTATGGTATGGGGCAGAATAACGGTACCACTACAAGAATTGAGGGAAGATGTTTTTCAAGGGTGACAGGAACAGTATCTATATGGGAAAGACGAGAGAGCTCAACGGCCTGGGTAGCATTCTGTACGGTAATGATGCGCGTACCGCTCTTTAAGAGCATGAAAAGAAATATCTTTACCAACATGGCGTAGGAGTGCCTTGCCAATACTGTGGTCAGAAAGATAGGCAGTAGAGGAAGTCGGTCATAAAGTGAAGAATTTAGTCCATTGTGCAGTCTGAAACTGAGCGTGGAAAGGTAGTGAAGGTCGTGTCGATCTTTTCTGAGAAGAACGAGAAGGTGGAGAAGTATCATCAGCAGGTAATTGTCATTGGCGTTTAGGCGTGGGACCAGAGTTGGTCCGACGTGGAACGGGCCGGCGATTCGAAAATTGCCGCACCGTAGAGGGAGAGGCCGGAAGCATAGTCAGAGGAGAGCGAAGGTCAGATAAAATCGAAGGAGTCAGTCAAGGCCTCAGTACCTGAAGCGGGTGAGGAAACAGCACCGGCAAGAGGTACAGAGGCATGAGGAGTGTCCGAAGAGTGGTCCAAAGACGAGGCGGGGTCAGAACGGGGTGCGGTATCAAGAAGGGGCCCGGGGGTAGCAGGTTCATGGACTAGGGCTGCCATGGTTAGGTTACTTCTTTCTTTTTGTTTCTAAGAAAAAAAAGAAAGAAAAAAGAAAATAAAAATAAGAAAAAGAATAAAAAAAGGGGGACCGGGGAGGGATAGTTCCTAGGAGGAATGAAAGGGCCAGAAATCTCCCTCCGCGCCCAAGAGGACCTCAGCACCGCAAGTAGCGCAGATGCAGCATGGAACCCATGCCATACCCTACCCATCATGCCAGTAAACCGGCAATCCGGGATAGCAACCTCACATCTGCCGAGCTACCTCGGTGGACAAAAGAGAGGGCGGCCGGAAATCCACCACAAAGCATACCTCCTTCGGCCACCACCCCCGGAATCCGAAAGGTGGCTTCCAGAGATACACCCGTCGCCCGAGAGACACCCAAAGCCACCCTCCGGGATACCGGAGAGGGATCAGGACATCCCCAGGCAATCCAGATTCCACAGCAAACTACGCCACCGCCAAGAACCTCAATGGAATGGGATGGACCCCGGTACCCATTACCCTACCTAGGAACTAGCGTGCCTGTGGGTAAAAAAAAAAAAAGGCCAAAAAGGAAGGGCAAAAGGGAGGGGTGGGGAGGAGGAGGAGGAAAGGAAAAAGGGGAGGATGGGATAGGGAACGGGGGATTGGGGGGTAATTAGGTTCGGTCTGAGGAAGTAGACCGACAGGTCTACTTCCTCAGGGTCAGAACAGGGTGCAATATCAGGAAAGCGCCGAGGGAGCAGGTTCATGGACTGGGAATTCCATGGTTAGGTCACTCCTTTCTTGTTGTTTTGTAGAAAAAAAAAAAAAAGAAAAAGGAAAGAAAAAAAAAGAATAAAACAAGGGGGGAAATGTGGAGGAATAGCTCCTAGGAGGAATGAAAGGGCCTTAAATCTCCCTTTGCACCCAAGATGATCTCAGCACCGCAAGTAGTGCAGATGCGGCATGGAAAGCACGCCATACCCTACCCTTCATGCTGGTAAACCAGGAATCCATGATACCAACCTCACATCCACTTATCAACTTTAGGGGACAAAAGAGAGAGCATTTGGAAACCCATTACTATTACATTCAAGAACAAGTGATAAACCAGTATGGGTCATACAGCACCTGGAAAATGTGAAGGATGAATGGTAATTATATCTGATCCAAAGATGGCAAGAAGTGACTTTAATTTCTTGGATTAAGAGCCCTTTACCGGCATCAAGGCAGGAATTCTCTAATGAGTGAACTTCAAGTGTTGTAGAAGTTGAATTTTTTTAGAAAACTCTTTTAGACATTCAGAACACTTGTACAGTTTTTCTTGTGAATGAACTTTCATGTGTTGTATTAGGGTTGATCTCCGTGAAAAGTGTTTTAGACATTCAGAACACTGATATGGTTTTTCTTGTGAATGAACTCTCATGTGTTCTATTAGATGTGATTTACATGAAAAATCTTTAAGACATTCACAACACTGATAGGGCTTTTCTTTTGAATGAACTCTCATGTGTTGTATTAGGTATGATCTCTGTGAAAAGTCCTTTAGACATTCAGAACACTTGTATGGTTTTTCCTGTGAATGAAAACTCATGTGTTGAATTAGGGACGAACTCCGTGAAAAGTGTTTTAGACACTGAGAACACTGATGTGGTTTTTCTTGTGAATGAACACTCATGTGTTGTATCAGGTATGATCTCCGTGAAAAGTGTTTTAGACATTGAGAACAGTGATATGGTTTTTCTTGTGAATGAACTCTCATGTGTTCTATTAGATTTGATTTACGTGAAAAATCTTTTAGACATTCAGAACACTGATATGGTTTTTCTTTTGAATGAACTCTCATGTGTTCTATTAGGTGTGATTTACGTGAAAAATCTTTTAGACATTCAGAACACTGATATGGTTTTTCTTGTGAATGAACTCTCATATGGCGAATTAGGGTTGATCTCCGTGAAAAGTGTTTTAGACATTCAGAACACTGATATGGTTTTTCTTCTGAATGAATTCTCATGTGTTCTATTAAATTTGATTTACGTGAAAAATCTTTTAGACATTCAGAACACTGATATGGTTTTTCTTGTGAATGAACTCTCATGTGTTCTATTAGATGTGATTTACATGAAAAGTCTCTTAAACATTCAGAACACTGATATGTTAGTTTCCTTGAAGGAACTCGAATGTACTGCATCTTCCTGTTTTTCTGGAAAATCATTTAGGTATTTAACACTTTCATTGTTGACTTCCAAAATTTAAACTGCTGATAGTGTCACACTCTTTCAAATGGTGAAAAATCCTTTTTGAAGGTAATGACAACACAAATGCAACAAATGATGGGAAATTTTACATCCTCTTTTAGCCTTTACAAATAGTTAAGTTGATCCAACTCCTAGCCAATATATTTTCTCTTCTATCAACTGACCATAGGAAACCAACCATTCAACTATCAAAAGGTAATATGACTAATTTTACCAATTCAAAAAATTCTAACAAAAACAGAATACAAAACAAAGATTTGGTAACTCCCCCAAGCAGTTGGATCTATTAAGGAGAAATTACTAGCAAAACCAGAAATAACAACTCTGCAGTCAAAGTCTGGAGATAACAATCATCATCAAGTCTCCATGTTGTGTCACAGACTCTCCAAGTCGAAAGAGACTTCCTCTAAAACACAGATATTACAATAGTGACGGTTATGCCGTGATTATACTAGGCAGTCGAGTTTTACTGCCAGGTGAGGATGACGGTTATGCCGTGATTATACTAGGCAGTCGAGTTTTACTGCCAGGTGAGGATGACGGTTATGCCGTGATTATACTAGGCAGTCGAGTTTTACTGCCAGGTGAGGAAAGTTCAATGATGTTGAGAATGAAGTGAAGTTGAAAATGGTAGACAGTATTATGATAGCTGAGAATAGACTAGTGATGATGGTGGATAGACAATAATAATTTAGAAGAACAGGTTAGTGATGATGTTGAAGAACACTGCAGACATTCCAGCCACTAAAAACCACCTTGACTCAGTTCATTAATTACATCTCCAGGCTTCTCCTATATAACATCATATTTCTCTTATTACTAAAATATAACTATCCCATTAATTTAAGCAGATTTAGTAAAACCTACAAAAAACGTTGGGGGGCTAGGGAGGGTCCTACCCTTCCTTAAGAAAATTGATAAAAAGCAAATAATTTTGCCACTTTGAGCTCTAACTACTTCAAGTCTGAAACCAACCAAAATCATCACCTTTTCAGCAGTAAGCCTTCCAATCTGTCAACTGACACCAGGAAACAGCCAAAAAAAAACCAACCCTATAAATTCAACACAATGTTGCTATTTTAACTCCATGGGGAAGTGGACACGAATTCTTCATTCGTAAGCCATGTGTTGTAAAAGGCAACTAAAGTGCCAAGAGCAGGGGGTTAGTAACTCCTCCTGTATAAATTACTAAATTTAAAAAAGAGAAACTTTTGTTTTTCTTTTTGGGCCACCCTACCTCAGTGGGACATGGCAGGTTTGTTGAAAGAAGAAGAGTCGCTATTTTAAACCAAACATGAGGTCAGAGAGAGATTTGCTTTTCTGCAGCAGGCACTGCATGAGCCAAGATTTTTTTTACTGTGCACACTCACTATCCAGACTCTTTCTTTCATGTTTAGGCTAAAATTTACCACAAACAGTAAATTTGAGGGTGCTGTCATTAATGTGTAGATTTATATGACACTGACATCAGTGATATAGATCTATTGACACTAGCATCAATGATAGACCTATGTGACACTGGCATCAATAACACAGATCTATGTAACACTGGCATCAATGATACAGATCTATGTGACACTGGCATCAATGATATAGATCTACATGGAGACAGTAAAAGGGTTAATACTGATATTGCATTCCTGCTTAATGACCTCACATATTACATGTATTTTGAAATTTAAATATTAAAAGAATATTTGTGACAAAGGTCACTGAGACACACTGACAACACAAGTCTCTCATTATTGTAGAAAATGTGTTCATAAATAAATTTAAAAGTAAAAATAAATTAAAAATAAATTAAAAAATATATAATTCACTGAGTCTTTAAATAAAATAAATTCCTGACTTACATTTAGCATGAGAGCCTCGAAGGTGCTTGTGTGTGTGCACACTTGATGCAAGTTCAAATTACATCAAGAACAATGTACTGCTACATGCCCATTAATAATTCAATGAAATGATTTATAAATTAGAATTAAGATTTTTGATCTTTCTTGTCTAAACAATGTAAACAATTATCAAAATATTGTTTCAATACAGTTTCTATTATGATTAACAAGAGCACACAACATCAACATAAGTGTACACATTAACAATAGCACACAACATCAACATAAGTGTACACATTAACAATAGCACACAACATCAACATAAGTGTACACATTAACAATAGCACACAACATCAACATAAGTGTACACATTAACAAGAGCACACAACATCAACATAAGTGTACACATTAACAATAGCACACAACATCAACATGAGTGTACACATTTAAAAATTAAATATTATGGAGGCAGACAAACATATATTATGATAATGACAGTAAAAGGCAATACTGAAATACATTCAGAATATATGAATAAAAAATATTCTTCAAGTCATTAATAAGTAATGAATTAATCTCTCAGACTGTGTGAAAATTATATATCTGAAGTAAATAATACAGATGATGTAATATAATATCCTGGACACAGTCAATATTGGTAATAAAGTGATACATATAATATAATATCCTGGACACGGTCAATACTGGTAATAAAATAATACAGATAATGTAATATCCTGGACACAGTTAAGAAAAAAATTTGCCATGTATTAAAATCAGCAACATTGGCTACATAACACAGACAATTGAATATGTTATTACTTCAACATAGTGGTTTAAAAGATAAGATTTTTTAAGTTATATAATTAAATATTAGTAGAGGATAAATCCTAACTTTAAGACTGAATACTCTGGTCTTATAATCAATCAGCTAAATAAAAATTTATATAATAAGCTAATTAACTTTACAAAGGTAATAAACTTTAGTGTAATGGATAACGATAATACACGTACAGTATTATATCACTATAAGAATAATACTATTTTGATAAGTGAACTTATATCCGGCAGATGTTGAGTGTGGATGTAAGAGTCAGAATAATGATGTGATCTGCATGATACAAGTGAAGATATTCACAATATATTCATCATCATATGATCAACATTGCTTACACTATTTCTGCCACTTATATCACTTGTAAGCAATGTAAACATAATTCTTCTGTTGAGATGCTGACCTGTAACAGGAGACAATATATTAGTCAGGAACTGAAGTGTTAAATTAAATCAAATCAAATCAAGTTTATTCTCTATAAAGATTACAATGTGGGGTTTACATATTATAGGAAATTGTGTGGTTTACATATTACATACAACTAATTACACCTAGCATGACTAGGCATTTCAGGCAGCCTAAGATTAATTCAAAACTCTATATTGGTACAGATTATGGAACATGTTGGTATTAAGGCTAAGTAACTGCATTACAGTTCGTAAATTTAGCAATGTGAATGGCTTTGTTTTGGTACAATATATAGTTTCTATTGAAGCTCCTATACCGGAGTATCACAGGCAAACTTACGTCTAGTTAAGATTCGTTAGGTAATAGTTGTATTACGTTATTTCTCTGTTTATAGTCAATTGGGTGGGAGTAGGTGCGAAATGTGGGGAATTACAGTCATCAAGGGGAGGTATAGGTTGTTTTTTGTGTGTGTATGATACAAGAGAATAGGCAGTTTTCATGTAGTTAGCTGACAGTGGGGTGTGTCAGGGAGATGAGATGTTTTCTAATGGTAGTTTTGAAAGTGATGAATGTGTCTGCAGTTTTAGAGTTTTCAGGTAGGGTGTTCCAGATTTTAGGCCCTTTTATGTACATTGAATTTTTGTATAGGTTTAGCCAGACATGGGGAATGTCATAGAGATGTTTGTGTCTGGTGTTATGCATGTGAGTCCTGTCACAACTATCAAGAAAGTGCTTTAGGTCAGGGTTAATGTTGGAATTTAAGGTTCTGTAAATGTAGGTTGCACAGTAGTAAGTTTGGATGTTCTGAACAGGGAGTAAGTTTAGATCTATGAAGAGTAAGGGGGGGGGGTGTTGCCTGGGATTGGATTGCATGATTATTCATACTGCAGCTTTTTGTTGGGTTATTATTGGCTTTAGGTGTGTTGCTGCAGTTGATCCCCAAGCACAAATAGTGTAGGTGAGGTAGGGATAAATGAGTGAATGGTATAGTGTGAGAAGGGCAGATTGTGGCACGAAGTAATGTATCTTGGAGAGGATCCCAACCGTTTTGGATACTTTTTTTGTTATACTTTTAATGTTTTTATATGCTGATATACAACCAAATGTCTAGTTATTTTATATAGTATGTTTTTTCTAAACCTTTTCACTATTGAGACATCAAAATTAAAAGTGCTCATAATGTCAGCATTATTTTAAAAAAAAAATCTTCTGAAATGGTAGAGAACCTTTTTCTGAAAGTAATGACACCAAAAAATACGAAATATGTTGGAACACTTACGTTATTATGCTGGTACAAAGATAGCTGTCTCGGAGCAATTTACACATCAGCAATTTTACATTATTTCAGTCTTGTTATGAGCTAATTCAACCAAATTATTTGATATTTCACTAGAATTCCTCTTGTTCTATCAATTGAGCACAAGAAAACACACATTCAACAAACAGAACTACAGTGGTACCTTGAGTTTCATACTAAAATCGAAATGTACCAAAGTTGAAGCAATATTTCCCACAAGTAATAATATAAATCCAATTAATCCATTCCTGCTCTCAGGAGGCATGACAAAATAGTACTTCAATATGATGCCATCCCATTTATTTATCAATCACAATTTATCTAATATGACATAATAAACAATATAAATAACCATAATGTAGAAATGAACTGGTGTATGTACACCATTTACATACCTTGCAGAATATAGGCAGAGCAGCTTATGCTGTCAGGAGTTTATTTAGTTTCATCCTTTACCTATCACTTAATTGCTACACTCTTAATGCTACACTTTGTCAAAAATATATAATAAACATGCTACATAACATATAAACATATAAATTAACATAAATATGAGATGTTTTTCCAGTCAGCTTGACGGAGTGAACGAAAACCATTCGTGTCTTGACTGCTAACAATAACAACAACTGGAAATCCCCTTCCACAAAGACTTCAGGTACAAAGTCCTTTTCTGGGGTTACTTCCCTTCTTTGTTTTTTAATGCCACTAGAACCAGCTTTAGAGTCACTGCACACCTGTACCATTAAATATCTGTCCAGAGAGCTCTGTTTCTGGTGTCTCTTTAAAATTTCCCTAAAATAGGACACAACATTGTCATTGTAGATGTTGCCAGCACAGCCTGCAACAGCTGTGTCAGGGTGATGTTCATCCATAAATGTTTCACCAAAGAAAGCAGGAACACTGCAACAGGCCTGTTGGCCCATACTAGGCAGGTTCTTCACAAACCATCCCACTAACAGAATCGTATTTGCCCAACCCAATTTTCAATGCTTCCCAAGCAATAATCTTTGATAATTCTATTCAATCATGCGCAAGTCCCACTCAAACCAAATTATATGTGTGGGGAAGTACCCTGGCTGGTATGTGAGGAAGTACCCTGGCTGGTGTGTGGGGAAGTACCCTGACTGGCGTGTGGGGAAGTACCCTGACTGGTGTACCACCATCACTACCACCCTCTACCACCACCACTTTCATATCTTTTTAAAAACTTTTTCTTAAATTCTATAGTGATTCTCACCCTCTTTACCAAAGGGCTGGCACTAGAAGCTTTCTTTGGGCCCATGGTGACTTATTTAGCAGTTACAAGCTCTAAAAACAATGGCATAGTACAAAATGTGTCGCATGTGCGCATGGAATCCTCCTCACTGGCTGGTAAACAATGGCACACTAGCTGTACAGGGAGTGTCCGGGCTGCTCACTGCATGCGGACATGATCAGGATGAATGACTTTAACCGAGTTCAGTGTCATTAAACGAGCCAATATTTTGGCGCAAAAACGTTACTTAAACTGATTATTACTTAATCCGATGATGTCTTAATCCGGGGGTCCCTTGTACTTTTCATCATGAAAGCAATCAAAATCATATCTATTTCTGTAATACATCTTCCATTCTATCAAATGAGACCAAAAAACTGAGAATACAACCATAAAAACCACACAAAATATACCGCTATTGGGCCACTAATGGCTGAGAAGTCAACTCCATTATTTATGGTCTGATGTCTTTCATTTTTGGTGTACGTTAAGAAGCATCTTTCCATCATACATTGCCACAGTTTCAATAAGATAGCACAACAAACAACTGAGAGAGAAAAAAATATAATAATAATAATAATAATAATAATAATAATAATAATAATAATAATAATAATAATAATAGTACATACAGTAAACCCCCGGATTACGTCATCGGAATTCGTAATATTCAGAATAAGTAACGTTTTTTTCGGCAAAATATTAGCTTGGTGATCGTCACTGAACTCAGTACTAGTCATTCATCCCGAATATGTCCACGCAACCTGAGAGGTCCGATGCACCATTTACAGCCAGTGTGCCATTGTTTATCAGCCAGCGAGGATGATCCCACACGTTCATACGATATATTTTGTATTATTCCATTTTTTTAGTGCTTGCAACTGCTAAACTAGCCACCATGGGCCCAAAGAAAGTTTCTAGTGCCAGCCCTCTGGTAAAGAGGGTAAGAAACACTATAGAATTCAAGAAAAACATTATTGCAAAATATGAAAGTGGAGTACATGTCGCAGTGCTGGCCAGGTTGTATAACAAACCCCATACAACCATCGCTTCTATCGTGGCCAAGAGAAAGGAAATCAAGAAAGCTGTTGTTGTGAAAGGTGCAAATATGCTTACAAAACAGAGATCGCAAATACTGGAAGATGTGGAGACTTTGTTGTTAGTGTGGATCAACGAGAAACAATTATCAGGAGATAGTGTTATGCAGTTAATAATTTGTGAAAAGGCAAGGGAGCTGCATGATGATCTCGTAAAGAAAATGCTTGGAACTAGTGCTGATACTTGTGAATTTAAGGCCAGCAAAGGCTGGTTTGAGAGATTTAAGAATCGTAGTGGCATACACAGTGTAATAAGGCATGGTGAGGCTGCCAATTCTGACAAAAAAAGCAGCTGAAAAATATGTTCAGTAATTCAAGGGGTACATAGTGGCTGAAAAATTCAAACCCCAACAAGTGTTCAATTGTGATGAAACAGGCCTCTTTTGGAAGAAAATGCCAAAGAGGACCTAAATTACTCAGGAGGAAAAGGCACTCCCAGGACACAAGCCTATGAAAGACAGGCTAACTCTCATGTTTTGTAGTAATGCTAGTGGGGATTTCAAAGTGAAGGTGTGTCACTCTGAAAATCCCAGTGTGTTCAAGAAAAACAGTGTCATCAAGAGTAAATTGTGTGTGATGTGGAAGGTAAACAGAAAGGCATGGGTCAGGATGGACTAGTTTAATGACGTGTTTGGCACCAGTGTGAAGAAATACCTCCTGGAAAATAAACTGGAACTCAAGTGCCTCCTGGTAATGGACAATGCTCCTGCTCATCCTCCAGACTTGGAAGAGCAAATTGTGGAGGAGTTTCGTTTCATCAAAGTGAAGTTCTGCCCCCTAATACCACTCCTCTCCTCCAGCCCATGGACCAGCAGGTCATTTCAAATTTCAAAAAAGCTGTACATCAAAGCAATGTTTCAAAAGTGCTTTCAAGTGACCTAAGACACTGAACTGACCCTAAGAGAATTCTGGAAAGATCACTTCAGTATCTTCCATTGCATAAACCTTACAGATAAGGCTTGGGAGGGAGTGACTTCCAGGACTTTGAACTGCTTGGAGAAAATTGTCGCCAAAATGTGTACAAGAGAGGGATATTGAAGGGTTTTGGGCTGACCCTGAGGAGCCTATGCCAGTTGTGGAAAGTATTGTGGCATTGGGGAATTCCATGGGGTTGGTTGCAAGTTTTGAGGATGTGGAAGAGTTGGTGGAGGACCATGATGAAGAGCTAACCACTACAGAGCTGCAGGAGCTTCATCTGCAACAGCAACAGACCACAGCTCAGAAAATTGCTTCAGAGGAGGAAGGGAGATCGAGGAAGGTGCCTTCTTCAAAGATTAACCCTTTCAGGGTTGGCAGGCCCTCTCCTAAACTTGTTCTCAGGGTCAGAATTTAAAAAAAAAAAAAAA